AAACTCCTGATGCAGTTTGTAACCTCTCCCCACGGCTTTTCAAAATAAGATGAAACTCACCAAACTATTTAAAACAAAGCAAAAAAAAAAAAAAAAAGCATTACTTTAATTTACACTGCGATATACTCAGAATTCTTTCTAGTCAAATCTTCTTTCTGATCTGCCCAATTAAAGCAGCCTCTCAAAAATACACCAAAATCCCCCGTTTCTTGTACATTTTCTTCGTCTTTGGACATGAACAAAATCTGAAGAAACCACATATTCCCTCTGGAGTTCGCTTCCCTCAATCTAACACTTCACATCTCAACATTTCTCGAAATAACTACTGCCAAAGGGCCCAACTGTGGCATCTTCACATCGATACCACAAACACCCCAACTGCAGTCAGCGAGACCGACTGTGAAGAAATCATTGACTTGGGCACAGACCCCAGAACCTAGTCCAAATTTCTTCTGTCTATCAAACATTTTTTTTATCTCCTGTACATGAACAAAATTGTACTTTTAGTTTGTATACATTCAGTGGAATAAAAGTGTATAAAGTACAAAACAGGATACAATGAAATATATATAATGCCGTGAATTTTTTCAAGGAAAAAAACCCTTCTTTCCTTACTTTGCGGACACATGGCAAAATTAGTATTTATCTAAACTCTTCAGAAAGCTTGAAGTGACACTTCATAATTACAGTATAGTTCAGCTCAAAGACAAAGTGAAGGAAAGAAACTTCCCTACATTTCTTTATATAAACTTCCTCCTTGTTTCTCCATGTACCAGTTGCATTTATATCGCTATTCCCATTTGTCATAAACACAGTCACCTTGTAACCCTTTTTATCAAGCAATCTACGCACTACCTAAAAGTACACTACACTCCATCAGACAAGCTATAGGTTTACATTATACAAACATTCCGATTCTGCCTGCTCAGCGCAGGTTGTCAATAAATGCAAGCAATTGCAAAACAGCAATGTGTGTTTTTTTCCTGAAGAGAACACTGATATGAGCCTGCCAGTTCTGCAAAATAAACTCTTTGCAATCTCTGCAGCTAATCTGTCAACAAATTACTATTAAAGTCATACCTCCTAAAAGTTCAAAAGCATTCTGGATTAGACAAAAGATACTGAGTTTTATACTCATGGGGCAGTACTTGAAGTTACGGTATCAAAGTGGATCTTGCTATTGATGTGGAGAGGTTTGTATTTCTGCCACCATGCAACGCAGCGTTTGGTGTCTTGCTGCTACATATTGGAATTCAACTTTGTAATCATTCTCTTTGTTCAATTCCTATTCTTGTTTCTCTGCTAATAACGTGAAGAACACTTTAGTGAATAGTCCTGAGGATAAAAATAAAACACAATAAATAATATTTATTTTATAAGCTAAGGAAAAAAAAAAAAAAGAACTGGCTACGACTGAAGCACCAAACCTTCTATTTGAGTAGACGTCAGAAACCACTGAAGCAACTAAAGCTGCGATCATGTACATTAAAAGGCAGTTTGTTCCCATGAGTCTTTATTACTCCTTGGTAGGCAAGAGTCACCCCATCATTACATACTTTCTGTCCAAGCTTCCCTCGCCCAGCCTGACTTTCAGCTTGTGGGTCACTCCGACACCCATTCTGCACCTCCCAGATGTTTTCCGTGACGCCTCAGAGCCAACAGATGTTGCCAGACTCTGCCCGGTACCGCATTCCCAGGTCTTCTGCCCCATCCCTTGGTTCTGCCTCTGTGGGCACCTTGGGAGCAAGCTCCCGAGCCCCACTGCCTGACCCCATGCCAAATGCCCGCTTCTGATCTCTTTAGGAAGTCCAGTGACCCAGGTGACCTTCACGCCTACTCCAGGTTTTATAGGCAGGTCACCAAAACCCTGCCCATTCCACCTCATCCTGACAGTCACTCCCGTGAGGTGCTGACCACCGGCACCTGTGGAGTCAGCAGCAGCGGGAGGGCAACCTCTCCCACCCTCAGCAGGTGCCAAAATACTGCAGGAAAGGGTTCTCCTTCCCTTTCAGCCTGGTTCTGGGGGTGATTTCTCCTCTAGGTACCTCCATTTTTATCCAGCTCTTCCACAGATGTACTTTCCCTTAAGAGTCACTTGTATTGCTTTGGCTTTCTTTGAAAAGTATCTTACTTCATGATTACAAATATAAACATCAGTTGGAGCTATTTGGTTTTATTTTACCTAGCAGAACTCATCCCCGCATTTGCTACTCCCAGCTTAACAGTACATTTTACAAGATTGCTAATGCTACAATAATTTAGCATCACTCTGTCTCCTTGCATGGCAGAACCATCCAAAGATGCCAGGGAAAGCGTAAAACTTGTTCTACGAGTCCTCCCTGCACTTACTCCAAGAGTGCTCACACCACACACTGTTCCTTCAAACACATGAACATCTGTGGTGCTCCGTATTTTTCCATGGTAAAATATTTACAAGTTTGTAAACCCATTAAAACTTCCTAAAAAAACTGAAGCATTTCTGTTTTCCCCTCTCATACTAACAAAGCTATTAGTCCTTATAAATTCATAAATTTCACAACAAGATGCGAACCAAAATTCAGCACAGATGCTTTCCACAAGCCACTGTATGTCCAGGTTTCACTGCTCAGCCACGCTCATCACGGGAATACACAACGAACCCCAACAGCAAAGCTCAAACTACCCGCCGCTGATTTTTGTGTTTTGGTTTTTTCAGACAAAACAAGTGCCAGGTGGCAAAAAGAAAAGAGTTGAATGAAATGCTCTTAAGAAATAGCTGTTTAATTCAGAATTCATTCATTTGTATTGAAGAAGCGTTTTTGTAGAACGCATTCTGTTAAGTGACCTGAGAGCATATGTTGTATACGGAGAAACATCTAAACATTATGCTCCATGTTGTATGTGTATCTGTAAATGCTTGCATTAGCTGTCTGAAAACAACGGGTTTTTCTTCTTTTCAGCGTTTAAAAATATTTTCCAAACACAAAGATTGATATTTTTATGCTAGCTCTGATTACCCTTTTGTTGTTGTCAGGTCTTTTTTTTTTTTCCTTCTTTTTTTTTAATAACTGTTTTAAACTTTGCAATCAACTTGCTTTTTAAAAGATAAACTCCATGGAGAAGTTAGTCATCAAAACCAATTAACAGCAGAATTCAAACACAGAACATTAAGCTCTTTTAAGAACTTGGAGAAAAGCAAGCTCCCCGACCACGTTTATTGTACTGGCAGAGGATAAATAAACTGTAAGCTAAAATCTGAGCTGTGTGAAAGCAATCCCGAGCCCGGCAATCCTGCCCCCAGCCCCGCGCCCTGCTCCCACGGGGGCTGGCAGCACTTGTGTCTGTGCCAGGCGCCGCTTTGGGGGCGTGGGGCCAGAGGACCCACGTAGGAATGAATTGGTGCCACTCCTTAATTGACCGAACGGGCGGCTGTTGCATGACACAACCCATTACGCGGGAGATTGCGGCGTTATCTAAGGCGGCGTGAGCCCTCTGGATGGCTACGGAGAAGCCTTGGCACAAGGCGCCGGCGGTGAAGGTTAGTTACTGGTGGTAGGGGCGGAGGAGCAGAGGTCTGAGCAATTCTCGTCTACGGTGCGCACGTGTTTGCGTGACCCCCCCCTCTGTTTCTCTCCGCACAAAGCAGCGCTGGAAAATTCCATAGTGCTCCTACAGAAAACGCAGCGCAATTAACTCATTTTGCTACGAAGCCTTTTTAAGACAAGACCTTTGTGTTGAACATATTTTACTGTTCCACTCCTCTTCTACTGTCCTATATTAATCAAAGCTGTAACCCCTGTTGTCTTTGCACTACGAATCAGAATGTGCCCCTGGCGAAGAATGAGGGAAAAGTCAACAGGAATTAAGTTTCAGTGCAACTGTTTACTCAACTGTGGCCTGCAGTTATTGAAATTTTATCCGTGGTTTTGTGTGACTACTGCAGTAATGAATTCAGCATGGCTGTGATTTTCTCACTGATGGTATTCTCACTTCAAGTAAAAACCTGTAGGATGAAAATGACTGCAACAACCAAAGTCCATGCATTTAGTATCATCCATTTTTCTGACTTGTTTAATTATGGCAGCTTTCTGTCTTATGTTGGCAAACGGGGTCCCCTGCTCCTCCGCAAGCCTTCGCTTTGCTTTGTTTTTTGAGCGCAGGTTTTTTTCTTCTCCACAACAACCTGCTAAAAAGATCACTGTACACTTAGGGGAGTCTTAACCAGCTGCCAATCGCTTATTTAAAAGGTTTTAAGAATGCTTATTGCATTAGAGAAAGTGCGGGTTAGGCATAAGTGTATTCACCATGGCTCTGCTGCAGCCTTTGTTCCCAAACACGTTAATGATACATGCCCAGCACTTTGGTGTAAAATTTCCTCGAAGGGTTTCAAAATTTTATCAGGGAAAACAAAAGGACAAAACGTATTACGCGGATAATTTACACTGGTGAACCTGGTCACCTCCCAGAAAATACACTAATTAAAATACAAAGGCAAAACGCACAGTTTGGTTCAGATTCTTCTGAATTGAGGAGTACTGCACGGGATGTATTTATTTATTTATTCTGACATTTTGCCGCAGCAGATACCTCCGCAGCCTTTCTCACTAATAGAAAACATTCTGTTGATAGAGGTTGCTAGGTTATATTAAAATTTGTGGCAAAAACAAAACTCAACATTAATGTATTTTCCACCCAGTGACATATTTTGGAAACCAGTTATTTGTATACAGCAGTTCACCCGATCACTGCCACCAGACTCAACGCATTCAGGCAACAGAAGCAAGCCCTGATCTTTGGGTATTTCCAGGGAATGATTAAAAAAGAGCCCTGGAAGAAAAGTCCAACGTCTCCCTTTACGTTAACGATTGCAATCCCCTACAGACAGAAATGTACAGAATGTTGTAGGCAAGTCCTAAAAGCATCCTCTGACTGGCAAATGCGAAGGGGTTGGGGGGGGGGGGAGGTTTAAATGCTTCATGCTTTTCCTGTAAGTAGGAAACTTGCAATATGTCTTACAGTACCTGCTGTTGCTGAAGATGTGCTAAATCTGCAGCCCCAATTTCAACTGAAGGTGTCTCGCCGTTTGATCTCACTTCCCGCAGGCTGCACTCTAGTAAATGGTTGCCACCGCTCGCTCCATTCTGAATGGCTGAACCGTTACTTTTTGTCTCAGTCCCAGATTCTTGCATCATGACTCAAAAACCTGAAATAATTTAGGGGAGGGGAAAAAAAAAAAAAAAAAGCAGCTGTTAAAACAGTTGCTGTATATAAGGAGACATGCCCTGTTTTAAATCCTGCCAAAACTGTAAACATTTGTCATTTCCCTTCATACGATTTATCTTTCATTAATGGTTCATGCTACTAGTTTATGTTTATTTACCTGTTGGTACAGCTATAATTTTAGTAAGTTAGTTCTGTTCTAAATATAGTATTATTTACTCAACATCTTTTTTCCCTTAGGAAAAAAAAAAAAAAAATTGAACGAACACACAGAATCCATAATTAAATTTCTCTAGTTACGTCTGGATGCTTTCCTTTGAACCGGACGAGTCATTCTTTGCAACATACGATGGACAATATCAAAAACTTGATATACGATAGGTAGGGGCAGGTAGGTGAATCAGAGCATTCACTATTTCGGTTTCCATTCACACCGTGATATTGCCAAATTAGCACCTTTTATTACTCTGAAGCAATTTAGGCTCAGTCTAGGATGTGCCGGACACCATCAGTTTTCCTTTGGGGCAAACCGCTTCAAGTGCTGACAGAATTAGTCTCTTTGGCAAAGTTCCTGGCTATGGATTTGGTCTGGCTTTGGATGCGCTACGGCATTACAGCGAAGAGCCTCCTGCGTTACTTGGCTAAACACCATCTTAGTAGCCACAGCTACTCACAGCCGGCCCTCTCCACTCGTGGTGGATGTCCGTCCCCGGGTGCTTTACAACGCTGCGCCCAGCAGTTGTACCAGTGGAGGTATGAGGATGAGGCCCGCAGGGAGGATGAGGATGAGTGCCCGCCTGCCCACCCCAGAACTCCCGGGATTCACACGTTTTTGGGAACGGTCAGCGTTTGTGTGCAAGATGCCCCAAAGAAAGCACATATGCCGGTTTTAGCTGCAAACTGCTACTTTTGAGATATTTTGATGAGTTGTCTTATAGGTAGTTCCACCTGCAAGGCCCCAAGCTCCAGGATTTAAGCGTTATTAACCCACTCTGCTTCCGCCAGCCCATCCCTCCCTCCATGCTCCTCCTCTCACCCTCACCCCGGGGCAGACGGGGCACGGTAAGCCAAGCTGCATGCTCCGAGCACATTGCCTGCTCTACGCCAACTCACCACATGCACATGTGAGCCAAATGCCGCTGTGCAGGGTAGTTCACCTTGAAATTAAGATGCTTTATATTTAAGGAAGAACCTGCTTGAATTCACTAAGTACCCCAAATACCAAAAGGAAGAAGAAAAATCCCTTCCCTTCCAACATATAAGGGAAAATATCAATCAGAAAGGGCAAGAGAAAGCAAGACATTTCAACGGAAAAGTACCAGGTAAAAAACCCTTTCCCTGGGAACTCCACACGTGCGTAATTTGGAATCCCCGGCCGCCGAAGGTGCGGTACCGGCTGGAGACAGAAATTCCTCCTTCCAGCTCCGGCTCCCCAGGTGCCTGCCGGCCCCAGGTGACATTCAGCATCGGACCCCGCGCGCAGAGGTATGCTCCAGCCCAACGCACCAATACCACACCCCTCAATTCCTTCGGTAGCTTCAGACGTTCACCATGATGCTCCATACGTCCGACAATCGAAATGTCGTAACTGAGAAGCAGCCGACTAACGAGGGCTCTGTCACCACCACGCTCCGGCGTTAGCGCTCCTCGCTGATTCACGTCCGAGGCGGCGGCACCACTCATTAGCCGGACCCCGCCCCAGCCATGGTGGGATCTATCCACGCTGACGGCCGCCCAAGCACATGGATGGTGCTAGGACAGATTCAAATGTTCTGATTACATTTAAATAAATTTCAACTGGTCTATGGAAACTTCTTTCAGTCTGTTTTGTGAGATCTTCAAATTATGCAAGGGGACGAAAGGCCCTGGGGCCTCATTATAAAGCTTCTGTCAACTCCCTTGTAAGAGCTCCAGAGATCTAAACTAACCTACAGCTTTTGCAGTGCCACTAGCAAATGCTTTTAGGTTTTAACATGATCTTGCTCTGACATAGACTGAGCATGGTGTGTTTTTCATTTTCGGCACTACAAGGAAAGCCCACAAGCACGGTAAGGTTTAAAGAAGTGTTTACACCTAACGCAAGGCTGGGTTACACAGCAGGCAGTGACTGCATGGCGCAGGTTGCTTCAGAAGAAGAGACAGGAGTGAGAGTCTCCAGACAGCTCACAAGTTACTCAAAGGTGTACCACGCAATTTTGGTATCCTACACTACTAAAAAGGACACAGCTCTCTTAACCAGAGATAAATCAAAAAGAAAGAGCTGATGTATGTAATTGTTTTCTGCTTCCATCCAAATTTGGGGTCAAGCCTTAACTGGAGAAAACGGAGCATTACATTAATTTACCTCCGCAGAAGATCCGGACAAGGATGACCACCACGTAAGACTGAGTTAGCAGGTTAAACCCAGAGACTCACGTCTTTGACTGCTGTGATGCCAGATGGCGAATGGTGGGTGGCACGTCACCACCACGGAGACCACAGCCGACGGAGGAAGGACACACTAAAGAACTGGTGGAAGGTGCCTCCAGCAGATACCATGGTGAAAACAGATGCTAAACCCAATGTGCCCAAGCAGTAAAGAAGTACATCTCATTCTCCAACACTTCTGGTGCAACGAATTGACTGGAAGCGAGAACCTGGATAAACTACTACGGAGGGTCAGAGAAAGCACCGACCAAAGCTCCGAGATGCCTCTGACAGCAGCAAGAAGAATGTGCACCACCGAGGAGCCGATCTATCACTGCCTGATCACGATTTGTTGGCTTGCCCTTCTGAGCAAAATATCTCCAGGACCCAGAAAATAATTCACAACCAAACTGGTCAAGAAATTATTTATTGTCTCTAGGATTGCAAAATGCTCCTGGAAAGAAACAACAGTGGAAATTGCTACAATTTTTCCAACCTGTAGGACTGAGAAAAAGATGGATTATTTCCAGTATTTGGTCATGAAAAGATCATAGTTCTTGAGAACCTCTTCCGTGACAAACTTCATGCCCTATGTTACCTTTCAGAGCACCCCAGCCAGTTACCACCTGAGCTGCACAGAGCTGGCCCTGGCCCCTCCACTGGCTGTGCCCACCCTACCTATCGCATCCAGCAGGATCGGCGGCAGCTATCAAGGAAATGGAACTGGAAACAGAGTTTGCAAAGAGAACATCAAGAGAGTAAAAAGAAAATTGTGATGTTTGGACTTTCAAAAATTATTTTAAAAGCCAAAGTGAACATCTTTGAGCAAATTTTGCTTTAAAAACGGCCATTCACAGGCAGTCAACTTCAATATACCTTCAACTGGACACCAATACAAAACAAATCCACTTTGCTAAAATACCTCCAACAGAAAACGGGATTTTCAGGGGAGAAAAGATAAAACTGTTTATTTCTTCACTGTAGTCAAATGTGAGTTGACATAAATAATCACAGCTTGGTTTGATCATTAAGCGTCATGTCATGAAAATCAACCTGCAAGAGCTTTCTGCAAGAATGATTATTATTTGTCTTTTTGAGCACACCTAAATGAGCTGAGGTGATAGTACACTGAGGATGGTTGAGATAATTGTCTCTCCTCAGCACAGAGGAGCGGGCCTTACAGAAGCCTATTAGTGAAGTCTGTCATTCAAAATTGTGAAAGAAAAAAGCAAAGCAAGGTTGACTTTATGCAACATGATTAGGTTCTCTGGGAACTAAACCGAAGCTTCAGGTCTAGTACCACGAACTGTGATTCTGGTCTGAATACAATCCCAAGTAACCAAAATAGTGCTGAAGAAGCTGTATGCATAATGATTTATTATAGGAAATACAGTACTCCACAAAAGCTTTCATGACATACAAGATAGCATGTTCTGACTTAAATTTAATGGCAAAAGAGCACGCCCATGTCATGCATTCTGCAAAGCAGAATGACTCTCGTATCAATTCTGCAAAGGAAAATGTATTTTTACAGCTTAAAATAAATGGGTTCTTACCAGTATAAGTATCTTTTTTTTTTTTCTTTTAAATATATAAAAATTCTACAGTATTTCATGCTAGGAAGGATAGAGAATGACTCTTAAGATTATTAAAGCTGACAAAAAATGTTTTTACCCTATGAAGGGACCAAAGCTAAGCTGCAGTATGAACAACAACTTGTAAAATTTTATCCTGAAATCAAGGAGCACATCATAAAAGACCTGTTCTTATACGACTTAATGTCAGCTTGGTTTAAAAATCTCACAACGGTGATCAATTTCTCAAGATTCTCATCTTAACCCGCACAAAACCTTTTCTAGCTTTGATGCACAGTCAAATACAAAGCCAAACCCACGCAGTTTGGCCCATCTCCTTGGTGAATATGTTATGTTCAAGGTAATGAGGTAAAATTTCAGTGGAGTGAAATCAAAGCAAGGCACTCTGTCAACAGGACAACAGCTAATCATCTTCCAGATGACTTGGACAGAAGTAGGGGACAGCTAATTTCTTAAGGGCATGGTCAAAACTGAAAAAACATAGGTCGGATGTGAACTTTGGCTGAAGCAAAATTATCTTTCTGAACATTCCCGTGTCGGTGTTTTGAACTAAAGAGACAGAGCCTGAAAGAATCCTAATTTCAAAAATGTTCTGTTGCTAATCCATTGAAAAAAAAAAGTCCGTAACATCACAAAGACCAGATGCTGCAGATACATGTCTCTCGGCTCCACTGGACTATTTAGATGAGCAAGGTTAACCATGGAGATTAGTAGGCACGAGGTGGGCACTGAGGTGTGCAATTTCTGCAATTCTTCTACCAGTATAGGATCCAAAGACTAAGCAGCATTGTTTAATGTCAGCATGAGGGAGGATTTACTGACTGAAGCACCCATCAGAATAAGGACCCACTGCAGGTCTGAAAGACTAAGGGACTGATATTCAGATGTATTTAGATGCCTCGCCGTACACCAGAGGCATCTGGCGAGACATTTTCAAGAGTCCTGAATAAGCACCAACCTACATCTTTAAG